AAGCAGATCCTGATTATTGCTGTTTACATAATTATCACAAAGCTGTATCACAAGTACAGGTGCTGTACTGCAGTGTGTAAGCTGACTTGACAGCAACATTTTAATGAGTCTGTGCTACCAGGAAAACTTATTGATACATTTCCCCCCAGAGCATCGCTGACATTTTTTAGAACAAATTAGCATCTTTATATCATTAGACAGGAATGCGAACCAGTAGGGGGGAAAAAAACAATAACAAGAACAACAACAAAAATGAAGGAGGTGTAAACAGCCTTTCACAATTAATCAAGGGAGGTAGTTTGGTACCTTGTTTTTAATTAAAAAAAAAAAAAAAAAAGCAAAACTGTGAAAATAACAAGTGCCAGCTATTTATCCACATGCTTTATCTTTTTATGTAATGAGTTTACTAGGACTGTAAGAGGAATCCATTCATTCCACATATCACTGAGTGCCTGGTACAAACTAGACACTCCAATGTGTACTGGGGACTTTCGACCCCCACAAAGTATGAAAAGTATGGATGTGTAAAAACTTCATGAACAACATATAGAAGATCTAATTTTCTAAGAAAAACTCAGTGCAAAAATTAATTTTCTCACTGAAATTTGCTATATCATCAGAAGGAATGTACTAATGGGCTATTTACAAGCATATTACAGTTTTGCATGCAATACGGCATGCATTTCAAGGAAATTATCTCATATGCAATTTACAAGAATAAAATTAAAGTATGTTGAGCATGAATCATTTATTCTATTGTGTTATATTTTCATGTTGTTAATATTAATTCATGTTAATACATATATTTTCTTTAGATGAATGGTGATTATTGACATGAATGGTGATTATCAGCAGGTGGTTATTTATTTATTTTGGATGCCAATGGCTTCAGTAATCTAATTGTGATCAGTAAGGTCAAAATCTAAAGTCAGTTAGGTAAATATGCTTTAATAAACTTCATCCTTAATTTTTTTATTATTACTCACAACTGGATTTGTGGTCTATTGAATAATCTTGAGAGATTCAACTGCACTCATTCATGTGATTTCAAATAGCTGTGTGTCAGGAGGCACTTGCATTGATTGTACATTACTGATGTCAAAATGCTGTTATTGCGTCCTGTAAAAACTCTGAGGACTCAGATATTTCACGTGGTGACACTAGGTTTCAAGGAAATCTAAGAAGAAAGCCTGCACATGACCTACAGGTGCAAGCCTATAATATCAGTTACCGTGAAAGCTGAGGCAGGACGATTGAACGTCTCAACTCACCCAGACGTCCATCAGCTGAGGAATGGATACAGAAATTGTGGTACATTTACACAATGGAATACTACTTAGCAATTACAAACAAGGAAACCATGAAATTTGTTGGCAAATGGATGGAACTAGAAGAGATCATCCTGAGTGGGTATCCCAGAGACAGAAAGATACACATGGTATATACTCACTTGTAAGAGGATATTAGACATATAATATAGGATAAACATACTAAAATCTGTACACCTAAAGAAGCTAAGCAACAAGGAGGACCCTGGGTAAGATGATCAATCCCCTTTCTGAAAGACAAACAGGATAGGGAGAAAACAGGATAGGGAGAAAACACTGAACAGGACAGGTGCCACCAGAGAGGGCCTCTGAAAAACTCTACCCAGCAGGGTATCAAAGCAGATGCTGAGACCCATAGCCAAACTTTGAGCAGAGGGCAGGGAATCTTAGGAAAGAAGAGGGAGGGGAAAGATCTGGAGGGGACAGGATCTCCACAAAGAGAACAACAAAACCAAAATCAAAACCAAAACCAAATAAACAAACAAAAAAAACCAAAAAGCAACACTGGGCACAGGGGTCTTTCTGAGACTGACACTCCAACCAAGGACCTTTCAAGGATATAACCTAGAACCCCTTCACAGATGTAGACCATGGCAGCTCAGTATCCAAGTGCATTCCCTAGTAAGGGGAACAGGGGCTGTCTCTGACATGAACTCAGTGGCTGGCTCTTTGATCATTGCCCTCTGAGGGGAAAGCAGCCTTACCAGGCCCCAGAGAAAGACAATGCAGCCAGTCCTGATGAGACCTGATAGACTAGGGTAAGATATAAGGGGAAGAGGACCACCCCTATTAGTGGACTGGGGGAGGGGCATGGGAGGAGAAGAGTGAGGGATTGGGAGGATGAATACATCTGAGAATCAAAGTGAACAAATCGTAAAAAAAAAATAAATGAATACATGAATTAATAAATTAATTAATTATTTTTAAAGATTAAAAAAAGGAAAGAAAAGTCTAAGCTCAGCCTTTATAACTTAGTGAGATCCTGTCTTAAAATAAAAGTATATGAGACTTGGGATACAGCTCAGTTATACAGAATTTTCCTATCATAAATGATCCCCAGCACTGGGTGGGTTTAGGGAGAACAGTCCCCACTTTAAGTTTTCTTAAAGAAAGCAGCCACGAGGTCACTGTTGCCTAGAGTAAATGGGAATCATTCTACTTACAAATTGAATGATAAGAATTCAGGTGAGTTATTAATTGGGGTTACCAATGAAAATAATCTGTAACAGCTCTAAAAAGTCTAACATCATTCATCCTGTGTCTTGTGCACATATGTGCTCAATTTTGGAAAAATACCGAGGCAAAAGGCTTCTCAAGATTTTCTCAGAGCAGAATGGTATTGACTAGACTGACTCACTTAAGCAGAATGACATTTCTGTTCTGACTCACTGCAACATCCCTTTCTCTGTAGGGCTGAAAGAATAGTTTGTCCTACCCTTCAAGAATACTGTCTTAATCCTCTATTTTCACTTGTTTTATATTATGAATCCCATTGACTAGAAATTCTAGGTGAAGTATTTTTTGTTATTACATGTCACCAGAAATATTAATTCTGTGGTATATAGACATCAAAAATCACAGAAAATACAAGTACAGTCAGTTAATTTTAAATATGAATGCCTAGATCCCATGCTTCTCTTGAAATTATAAATAATATTTTCTAGAAGGAACATCTTGTGATAGTTGCCAAAAGATTAGATGTTATAGTACTGTTACGTTTAAGCATAAAGTAACTTGGAAATTTGAAGATAAAGTGTTTCAGAAAATAAGAGTTTATCTTTCCATAATAGATCCTTTAAAAGTATCTGGAGGGTTTAACTTGCTAGAATATTACATAGCTACTATTTGCAACCTTCAAGACTCTGAATTTGATGCCTGTCACATGCTCCAAAGTAAAAGAATCATAACTTTCCCTTAGAAAAAGAATCAAAGATATACAGGCATAAATATTTTATCACTCAGAATTGACAAACAACAATATGTTTCCAAATAAACTCTCAGTTTAGAAATGAAAATGTTTAAAGATAGAGGAATATCAATTAATCTGGAGGCTTACTTTCTTTTTTTGAATTTTTATTTTTATTTTATATTAATTACAGTTTTCACTTTGTATCCCAGCTTTAGCCCCCTCCCTTATTCCTTCCTAATCCCCCTGTCCCATGCCCCTCTCCAAGTCCAGTGATAGGGGAGGTCCTCCTCCCCTTCCATCTGATCCCTAGCCTATCAGGTCTCATCAGGACTGACTGCATTGTCTTCCTCTGGGGCCTGGTAAGGCTTCTCCCCCGTCAGAGGGATCTGATCAAAAAGTCAGCGACTGAGTTCATGTCAGAGACAGCCTCTGTTTCTCTTACTAGGGTGCCCACTTGGATACTGAGCTGCCATGGGCTACATCTGTGTAGGGGTTCTAGTTTATCTCCATGAATGGTTCTGTGTTGGAGTAGCAGTCTCAGAAAAAAAACCTGTGCCCAGATTTTTTGGCTCTGTTGATCTCCTTGTGGAGCTCCTATCTGCTCCAGGTCTTTCTCTCTCCCCTACTTTCCTAAAATTCTCTGCACTCTGCTCAAAGTTTGGTTGTTAGAGAGGCCTACTTTCTATTTGCACTGCTCTTCATATTATGAATAAGGGGCTGTACAGTGAAGTGCATGCTATTATCCTACTTGATAACAGAAATCTGTCATATCTTAATTGGTTAAACACTCTCAAACTTGAAGTAAACTCCCCCAAGCCAGTTCACTAATTTTCAATAACTTATCATCACATCTTGTGATATATGATAGTTTGTGCCCCTGATATTATCAAAGATTTTAAGACTTGTCTCCTAAGTTTTTCCATGAGTTTTAAGAAGTGTTTTCTGCTTTCTTCAGTATTCTACTGTGCTTAATATGTGGACTTTGTTGCCCTAGAAAAACTATTACAATAAAGTATAGATAGACTATACAACTACTATAGTCAAGACAAATGTAATGCAACAGCCTTAGACATACATAAGATTGAAAAATCACAAATTCAAAGTATTGCAGAATGCTGTTACCAACAAAAAATATATTAATTTATAAAGTGTGGTTCAGATATCTTCCTTTATTACTATACCTTCCGTATAGCAAACAATAAATTTTAAAACATTATATATTTTATTGAAAAATATATGCTCAAAATATGTCCTATGCAAATACAAAATTAAACCATTCATGTTATTATCACAGATTTGACTATGTATTCTATATGACAAATATTTTTAAGTCTACAATGTTTGGTAATTCTCCATAACAACATACTAAACTACATTCATTATTGTGTATCTTTACGTCTACCTCTCTTTGACTATCATAAACAAAAGAAGATCAATGCTAGAATGTAAAGACATGAGATGCTCACTGAAGAGCCAAAACAACTGAGAAAACTTTTAGAAATAAACATCAAAATACATCACCATCAGAATTTGAAATTGTAAAACTTTGAATAATACATCTTGGTATTTAACAAAGTGGTAGACACATAATTCACTATGTTAGCTTAAATACATAGTCCTTTTACCAAACTCATGAAATTGAGGCATATCAAAATACCTACAATTATGAATAACAATTTGGTCATACAAAAGCAGGAATTTTCACTGAGAACTTGGAAAAGTATCATAAGATATATGCAATATACGTAAAGGGAATCACATACCTTCTGTGTGCACAGCTGAGACATAAGTCCAGTTGTATCTCTTCACTATGTCCACCATGGCTCGTGCCTGCTGGGCGTCTGAAGGTACAACTCTCATGAAGTACTTGAATAGAGTCTTGTCACTCAGGTCCATGCTGGTTGCAGAGTAAGCAATCTGAGGTATGTTGAAAAGCTGAAGCAAATTCTGGACTTGAATAGCCACAGAACTTGAGCCAGGCCCAATGACTCCCACTATGGGTTTCTTGGAGCGGAAGGATGAAGAGCCATCCACACAGCGTACCAAGCCCTCTTCCTCTTCTGAAGAAATAAGGGAATCCCTTATAAATTCAATGCTTTGCTCTAGGGCCACAGCTGAATGCCAGCAGGAATCTCTTATCTCACAGCCAAGTGTGATGTTGGGCAAGAGTGTGGGATCTGAATTGATCCTTTCCAGGGTATGCAGCATCGCCTCCACTCTCTGAATTCCATACTGCTCGCGGACTGCCCCACACTTCCTCTCATGAACTTTGTCCACAGTTGGTTGGTGGTGGACAGAGAAGAGGGCTCCAATGATGATGTCTCCTGGCATGTGAGCCACCACCCTCCTCTCACTGGACTGTGCACTCCCTCGAACATCTTCTTTCAAAAGTAGGACTGAGAGTATCAACAGAAGGACCATTTTAGGGGAAAAATTTTTAAACTAATAAACACATCATGGTGGAGGAATCTCAGATTTCCAATAGGTGCAGTCAGATGATGTCCTGTGTTGAGTAACACATTGAGGAATTAGGCAGCAATTTAGATATAGCCTTTAAAATTTAACAAGGTCCCCAGAAAGTGTCTAGATAGAAGCGTCCATATGATCATGATATTCAAAACCTGAAAATAAAAGGAGGAGCATGAGTTTTAACAGCATACATACTAGTTCAGGGACATTCTGAATATCCATGTTAATGGAGAAATAGCATTATTAGATATTAAATACAAAAAAATAGAACTGAAAAGTTTGAGGAATTTTGTGCTTTGTTTTGTTTTATTCATTGGGTGAAACAGCTTGTTGGCCTTGACTTCCTTACATTTATGGTTTTTTTTTCTTTTGTTGATCTGGAGTACAGAAAAGCAAATGTAATATAGAGCAGACAGACCTGTGAAAGAGCTTCCTAGTATCCAAACTATTCTATGCACTAAAAGTCCTTACTACACAGAACCCTAAATTGGTTAATGATACATGGTTGGGAGGATTGTGTCTAACTTTCGTTTTATTTTAACTTTAATCAGACTTTAATGTCTTTGCAATTTTTATTACTGAACGTATATTAATTTTTCAGTTAGAAAAGGAGTCTTCTTTAGAGGGTTGAGATGTAGCTCAGTGGTATACAACTTAACTAGTTTATACAAGACCCTGAATTCTATCTTCATCACAGTCAACAAAACAAAACATAAAATCATGTATATTTCTTGCCTTGATGTGATGTAAAGCATATTGAATAAGTTTAGTAGGATATATAAGCTTTGTGGATATGTAATATGTAATATAGTTTTTTATGGATGAGACTGTTTAAACACTATAAAATGCTGTAAGGAAGCAGGAGTGATAGATCTACAAGTTTTGGGGGAAGTAACTTACAAGTTCTTATATTAAGAATTGCTACTCAGCAATTAAAAACAAGAAAATCATGAAATTTGCAGGCAAATGGTGGGAATTAGAAAAGATCATCCTGAGTGAGGTATCCCAGAAGCAGAAAGACACACATGGCATATACTCACTTATAAGTGGATACTGGACCTATAAGATAGGATAAACATACTGAAATCTGTACACCTAAAGAAGATACACAAGAAAGAGGACCGGGGGTAAGATGATCAATCCTCACTTAGAAAGACAAATGGGATGGGCATTGGACGTAGGAGAAAACAAGTAACAGGACAGGAGCCTACCACAGAGGGCCTCTGAAAGACTCTACCTAGCAGTGTATCAAAGCAGATATTGAGACTCATAACCAAACTTTGGGCAGAGTGCAGGGAATCATATGAAAGAAGGGGGAGTTAGCATGACCTGGAGAGGAGAGGAAATCCACAAGGACCAAATATATCTGGGCACAGAGGTCTTTTCTGAAACTGATTCTCCAACAAAGAACCATACATTGATATAACCTAGAACCTCTGCTTCGATGTTGCCCATGGTAGCTCAGTATCTAAGTAGAAGTCCCTAGTAAAGGGAACAGGGACTGTCTCTGCCATAGACTCAGGGGCTGGCTCTTTGACCTGCCCCCTCCCCCGAGAGAGGAGCAGCCTTGCTAGGCCACAGAGGAGGACATTGCAGCCAGTTCCGAAGATACCTGATAAGCTAGGGTCAGGATGGAAGGGGAGGAGGACGACCCTACCAGTGGACTTGGAAAGGGACAGGGAGGAGATGAGGGAGAGAGGGTTGGATTGGGAGGGAATGAAGGAGGGGGCTACAGCTGGGATACAAAGTTAATAAATGGTAACTAATATTAAAAAATAAAAATTTAATTAAAAAAAGAATTATTAGTAAAGTGCTTAACAGTAGCAAACACTAATTTTCCCATTGCGTGAATTTTAATGAAATGTGCTAGGCTACTCTTAGGGTTATCAACGTAAAATATCATGTTTTCAAATGTCTTAAATTAAATAGGGATGTATGTGTTTCCAACAGAATCTCCTTTGTTATTCCAGTTCAAACAAAACCCTCTAGTTAGTTGGTGAAGAGAAATTAATCTCTGGCATTCTTTTTGATACTCTAGAGATTTTTCAAAACAAGTTAGAAGTCCTGCAATAAAATTAATGGTAATCAGCCCTTTATCTCTGACCCCTAGGAATAAAAATCACATGGCGACACAGCTCAAAAGGATTGAACTGTCCTTCCAAGAAGAAACTTGGTGTAGCTATCCACATAGTCATTTTTCCAGCTTAAATTCCTAGGATGAAGATAAGTCCACCCCAAGTTGCCAACAGCAAATTCTACATTAATGTGTAAAAGAATAACTGACAGAAACAATGGTTGTTTCGTTTCATTGGATTGTGTAATAGATTTACTTTCAATGTCACCATCACTGCCAACCAAGAGTCTTAAATTGTTTGAAAATGACCAGCACACATGGACTACCTTTTAACACAGGTAATATGTCTTTAGAAGTTTGTGTAATTATCTTTTAACTTTAAGAATAATGACACTTAAAGTTCATCATATTTTCAAAAACTGTAGCTTGGACACCCAATGAATATAGCTTCAATTACATTTCTCACAACACCTACCCTCATTACACTGTTTCCTTCAACTGTTTCCATAGCAACAAAGGAAGAACTCTTTGCATAGTATCAAATACTAAAATTAAAATTTCACCAATAGCTACATGTTCCAGAATAATGAGGTGTTTGGAGACACAAGTGAGGGTGTGAATCATGTGTATTATATTTTCTAATTTAGCATTTTAGGCAAAAGTAAAGGGAACAAAAATGTTAATTTTCTCATGGTGAAACTGTCTGAACATTCTCAAAATGTCTGTTCAATCTCCTAAGCATAGAGACCTGGAATCAGTGTTTATTCTTATGTTTATTAAAGAGGGACCATGAGAATAAGTATGAAAAATCAATGACAAAACATGGCTTGCTTTTACATAAGAACAGGAGGCTAGAAGCGACTCATCAAAAACTTGAAGCTGAGCATTCAATGCAACTTTTTAGAGTTGTTTTTGTGAGGTCATATAGAATGAGATAAGGGGTACGTGTTTAAGTACTTCTATTTCTATTTTATATGTAAAATTAATTCCATCTCTTGATAAAAATTTACTTACTAGGTGGGAGATTTAATAACTGAATATTCTAAATATATATGTATATGTATATATATGCTCTTGATACTCATAGACTATACAAGGCAATACTCAAAAAATGGTATGTGTGGACACTTAATGAATGCAAAAAATAATAACAACAGATATAAAAGAAGATATTCATGTGGAATGATTGCTAGAACATAAATAATGGAAGGGATGGAGGAATGGCATTTGTTGTAAGGCAAAGAAGATCCAGACCATAATTGATCTCCTAATGTTGAATGTGAATTGCCACAGAAAGTCATTCTGAATGTGTAAGCAAGTGATAGACAATATTTAAGTTAAAGTCATTCACGCAGCAGGATATTCTGGATAACAAATTCCAGAAATCTGATTAGAAGATTTCTAAAGTGGAATGACAGTAATGACAGTAGCTCAGTCATGACTGGTAAAAGTAAGAATAGAGAGATGTGAACACAATTAGACATAACTTCCAAATAGAATTCCACAGGTATGCTGATGAATGAGATATGAGTAGAGATAGAAGAATGTGGATCTACTCCTGAAATTCTAAGAAACTAACTTCTTTTGATATAGTTAATAAAGATTATAAAGGCACTAGAAAAAGTGAGCAGCATTAGGAAAAGAATACTTTTCTTCTGGATATTTTAAATTTGAGATGCTATTGATGTGTCCTGGAACGGATGTCAAATTGGAAAGTAATGTGTGAGACATGGCTTATAAGAGAATTTTAGTTAGAGACATAAATCGAGAGTATATAAAATTTTAAGAATGCATGCAAACACCTGAAGAGCAAAATAAACTTATCAAAAGTGGAATGGAAAAATGTGCCCTGTAAGATCAAATTTTAGGGGAAGAAAAGTCAACTAAGAAAAAAAAAAAAAAAAAAAAAAAAAAAAAAAAAAAAAAAAAAAAAAAACAGCCTCCAGCATGAGAAACAAACTAGGCAGGTGATATCAAAGAAAAGATGACAGTCTCAGCATCTATTCAGAGACATCTCCAAGGCTTCCATGTTGCACAGGAAAAATTTGACCTGGTGCCATTAATATATATGTATTATGTGCATAGTACAGCTTGGTGATGTTTGACACAATAGTTGTGCTTTATGTTCTGTGGGTACATTGCTTATTTAAAAATCCAAGATGTAGACATTATTTTATTTATTCTATCTCACAAATACATATAATATATATGGGTTTTGAGAAGTTAGAACTAGTCAATAAATTCTAATGTGGTAAAGAATAATTGTGTACTTCTGATTATTCTAAAATATACTTTCTGGTCATCCCTTGTTGCTTTATTACCAATGCCTATAAGAAATATGCTAACAAAGTCCAGAAAAATGAGAGTGACCATCGAGATAAATCTCTAAGTTTCTAGTGACACAGGAATTCTAGATCTCACCATTTGCCTGCAAAATTCATGATTTCCTTGTTTTTAATTGCTGAGTAGTATTCCACTGTGTAAATATACCACAATTTCTGTATCCATTCTTCGGTTGAGGGACATCAGGGTTGTTTCCAGATTTTGGCTATTACAAATAAAGCTGCTATAAACATGGTTGAGCAAATGTCCTTGTTTTGTACTTGAGCCTCTTTTGGATATATGCCTAGGAGTGGTATAGCTGGATCTTGAGGAAGAGCTATTTCTAATTGTCTGAGGAAGCGCCAGATTGATTTCCAACGTGGTTGTACAAGTTTACATTCCCACCAGCAACAAAAATTAAAAAAAAAAAAAAAAACAACCTCATGGAGTTGCTTTGCAATTTAAAGAGTGAAGAGCCCTCTGGGATCAGCGGCAGTGATGATTCAGTAAAGAGAAGTCATAGATGTGTATAATGCTTAATGTGTCTACTACAATGGAATAAACACATATACTGTTTCCTTTCAGGCTTAGTAGGCAAAAGCCTTTTCTTTGCAAGTATAAGGACTTGAGTTTAATCGTCAATCAAACTCAGTG